CTTCTTCTCTCTCTCTCTCTCTCTCTCTCTCTCTCGCTATATATATATATATATTGAAAAAAGGTATATATAAGGTGTCAACCTTATAATGTACAAGTAAGGTGCACCCAAAAAATCCATTGCATAAGGTTTTTCCTCTGCTGTAAATTCCTCAAATCAATCATCTCGAAATCAATCATTTCGACCTCAAAATTCATAGATATGAAAGACAAGACGATTTTTCGTCTTAAAAATAGTTCATCTTCTAACACGTTAGCTGGACCGTCCATTTTCAAGTGTTCATAGATCTGCTTGATCGTCACCATTTCTGGAACTTAAAATTTCATATCATCACAAGACTTCGTAATGCTGGAATTGCATTTTCGGCATAGTTTTGAGGTGCACCTTACTTCAATGGTATAAGTTATGACACCTTAAACATATCTCACCTATATATATTATATATATGCCCCTATGCATTTGTCGATTTAAACATTCTAAAGTTGAAAAAACACCTTCCAATTTTCGGATGGTCAAGTGTTTCAGGACACAAACGAGCTTTTCAATCCTCATTAGGTGATTTTGAAGTGGAATCCAAAATTTCAGGTCCATAAAGTCTTATGCATGTCGTTTGCTTGAAGGAGTGTAATGAAAGAAAGACCTATGTGATCCGAGGAATACATTTTTTTTTATTTTTTTTCTCACCCCTTTCTTTTGGCAAAAGATCACTTATATGTGGTCTTTATTATAATAATATAAATTTCAAAATAAAATCAACATAACAATAAAATCAAGATTTTAACAACTTGATGCCATTGAAACAAGTATGCATTATGTTTAAGAATAAAAGATAAGATTGCAAGAAACAGAAGGAAGAGTACCGGATATTACCTCAACATGGCTTATTACACCCCACACCGAGAAAGCAAATTTCGGCCAAGCCATACCAATGGAATATGAACCCATTTGATCACAAACTCAAACCCTATGTGAATTCTCTTAGCAACCTAGTTTGAGAGAGATGGATTATCTTTTTGTTAAACCCTAAAACCTTTAGCCATAGATCCATATTTGAGAGATAGGAGAGAGAACTCCATAATCTAAACTCTTAAGTTCTTTCACAATGTGGGAGAGAGAGATCAAACATGAGAGAGAGAGAAACTTTCTTAAGAGAAAGATAGAAAGATAAGGTGTAGAGAT